GTTATACATAAATTAAAAAAATTGAGTCGAAAACAAAGCTGAAAGAACATTTGTTTCTTACAACTCTAATTTATATGAGTAGACTCATGAACATTAGATCACAAATCAACACGTTTGTTGTGAAATTAATGATATGATGGTTTAGATTCATTGGAAATGATTTTAAAATTTGAATGGAGAGTTAAATTTAAAATATTATACACATAGGCCATATAATTTACTCAAAGAGTGTTAAAATAAATAAAAAATTGTGTGTGAATACTGGTCACTATTCATTAGATAATATAACTGTGTCATCAAAAAAGGTAGCTAATAGTGTGTCAGGAATTTGATGAGGATTATCTTCTATAGATACTAACGTTGTAAAAGTTAGTTCACTATATCGGGGGACCACAGCAACCAGCTTTAGGGGCGAGAGTTGCCTTGTTCAACAGTAAATCTATTGTTTTACGTGAAAAACTTTTGATTGACAATTTTGAATCATTTTGATTTGGGATATCATGAGTCCAAACGTGTACTAAACGTAATATATTTTTACTTTTTAGTGATATTGAGTTGTGTGGATTTTGAATATCGAACAAGTACTGTTTATAATTTATAAATTCAAATACGAACACGCTGCACGGTTTATTAAATATATATTGTTTTATTTTTCTGATAAAATATACTTAATAATATTTGGGAGTTGGGAATTGTGACTTGTGTCACTTGTGAATTGTGACGATAGTAAAGTTATTTTTGTATAAGTAATATTTAGCTATTTTTGGTGAACGGCTATCAACAAATATTTTCATTATGTCTTTCATAGTTTCGTCACAAGCAATTAATAAAAATGAGTAAACTTCTAGAGTTGTCTTCAGTCGGAATAGAACCGGTTTAGAAACTTTTAATAATATATAATATGTCTTGGTGTGGAGTTCCGATAGCATTTAGCCAATCATGAATCATCCCAGAATAATTAAACTTCAATTATTTATATTAATAGTTTATCTTTTATTAAATATTTCAGTTAAAAATATAAGGTGATTCTTTTAAAAGCAATGAGTATTTTCTCAAAGAGCATTGACGTTTTAGGATGTATATTTTAATAATCCACTCATTTAAATAGTATGTAATTAACTTCTTATACAATTATAACAAATTATTAATAATTTAAAATATACTCTTTTTAAATTTTATTTGTATACGTATCTTTAAATCATCAAAAAGATACTATTTAAGAATAAAATGCTGTGGAGTTAAAAATATATGATATTAAAAAAACTTAAAAATTATAATTTTTTTTTAATCGTTACGTATTAAGTTTTATTAGTACTTGTATGTGATTTATTCTATGAATAAATCACAGTAAATGAATTGTCTTGATGAAATTATTGATGTACAGGTTGTATAGCAATTAGCAATGATACAAGATTTAAGAGCTCTTGTGTTTTGGGGTATATGAGTTATGTCCTGGAAAAAAATTAATTTTTAAAAATAGTTAAACTGAAAATATTTACCTAATATCTACGTCATTTTTTTTTACTTAAAATTTATAATTTATTCGACCCTCCCCATAACAATTTTTAATGTACAAAATTACTCTCATTGTCAACAAATTAATAATGATAACAATTTTAATTTACCATTATAAGTAGAAAAATCAAAAACTAATTACTACAAAGATAGTAAGTAATTATTATCTACGGATAATCAGAGTGATAAGCACTTGTATAATAAATTGTACTTATTTATTATTATTATAAATTATAATTATGTTATTATTAATTATTTCATTGTTTCTACTACTATATAATATATTACATTGTACTTAATTATTTTAACAGTAATAAAACTTAAATAAACATTAAAGATGAATGTTTCAAACAATACTTTTTTACGTTATTTGTATATGCATAGAGTAATTATTGATTTAAGACATGGGTTCGCCTCCCTTCCCTAGAAAACTATCCAAGGAGTAGGGATGCCCCTACACATAATTATGAGAATATTCAATACTTGTTTGTGAATAAATAGAATATAAGAATTAAGAACACAAAGTAATTTTCGTTTATTTTCTTCGCACAGTAACTGATATCTGTTTGTCTACATACCTAATTAATAAAAATATCGAAGATATCATGATGCAAATTTCAGTGCTCAGAGTTAAAAATCTTTTGAAATTATTACAAAATTTGTTTTTCAAATGTAATCACTTTTATCTTAATAGGTAGGTACTCGATTTTAATGACTATATCGTTGGTAAATTCTCCTTAGTCGAGTTCAGCAAGTTCAGCACTATCTGATGGGTACGTGTGAACGGTGCATCGTGCATCCGAATTGGATGCCAAAAAAATAAATATAATTTGGAATATCCAAATTGCATGCTGTATACCCACAAGTTTATCTTTATCTCCTGAGTCTTTTATAACTTCATTTGTACATTACAATTTTTTCATTATTATTTAATTTTTTTAGTAATATCATAGGCGCAACTAGAACAATACTTTTGGGGGTTCACAAATAGTGAAGAGCTCACACACCCATGGGGACAAAGCTAAAAGCCTCCACGCCTCTAACTACCATTAGATTACAAAATAAACTTATAAAAACAATAACTGCTAATGTAGATATCATACATGCCTATTGCATACTTTGTTTTAATATTTGTAATACAATTAAAGGTTAACAAAATTAAATTAACAAAACTACGTATTTTAACATTAATTTTCTCGATTGCAATTTATATTTATTTAAAATTTGTTCAATTTTCAATTATCAAATTCTGGTATACCATATACGAATACCTAATTATTATATAAATAAAATATGATATATTTATGATTGTTATTTTACAAACAACTACGTTTATGTGGCGGTTAGAACTGTTAGAAGTTACAATTATTATATTTGAATATTACCTATGCAATCATTAGAATAATTAGATATTATAAGTTTATATAGCTAGTATACATATAAATATAAACATAAATATGTATATAGTTAGGAACATAATAGGTATAAGTATAGAATAAGTAGATACCTATTATCTCAATCAAAAATAAATTTTTTTTTTTTAAAAAAGGCCTTTATTTTTTTGGGAGTGCACAAGTCCTCTGTGCACCTCCTTAGTCGCGGTAATGAGTAATATGAACTTACAAATTTTAAATTGATTTTTCAATGATGTGTTTTTATTTGTGTATAAACGATACGTTATAATACAGATTACAGAAAAATGTTTCGATTTTTTACTTAAGGTTGGTTTTGTATAGAAAATTTGAATCTAGTTTATACTTTGAAGAGATCAAAATTAAAAATTCTCAATATTTTTTTTATAATCGAAAAAAAACCAAAACATTAAAGAAAAAATGAAATTTTAATGCTAAACCAGATTTTGACTAAATTGACTACTATATTTTATTATAATACAAAAACAAATAACCGCAAAAACTTGAAATTTTCACTAAGTATTTATATTATTGTATTCTATGTATAGTAAGTATAGTTTCAAAATATTTAGATTTTTTTAACTATTTATAGACAATTGAAATTTATGAATGATAAATGATTGAAAGTGTAGAATAAAGTTTTTAATAAGTAATAAGTGATCCATTTCTCAAAGGATAGCTGTTCAAATCCAATTGTAAATAGCTTGATTATTATTGAATAATGTATAGATCTATAAATATTCATCAGTCATTGGCCTTTCATTTATTAAATTAAGTACAATTTTAAGATTTTAAAATATCAGTTCAAAAGATATTTTGTTATAAAAGTTCTTAATTAAAAATATTATTTCGATGATTTAATGACACATATGGTATCCTGCTAACGTTATGTGCATATAAATTTATAAGGTAGGTAGGATCTGGTAGGTAATAGGCAGTATCTATTTAAATTTAATCCAGATTATTTCAAAAAGTATGTATTTTGTTGGAAAACATATGAATTATGCACAACTTATTGTAACATTTTGTGCTGGCCAATATCAGTAAATTTATCGGTAGACTGAATAAAAAATGACAATTCGCGATGTTCAAAATACATCAGATGTTTAGAATATTTACTAATTTGCACTCAACATAATTTTTAAATAGTATAACCAAATTATATCATAGAATATTTAAAGTATCTAACTTAAAATTCTAAGGTTTTAAGCGACTCTGGACTGGACCACGCAAAATTTAGTCAGGTTTAATGTATTTTTTTAAAATCAAATTATACGTAATATATGATTAGTTTAAATTTTGCGCCTGTACCGCGTTGCAGTAAAAATGCATAAACCTAATGCAAACTGCAAAGTTTTATAATAATAAAATTTAATAATTATTATTATTTATTTTGATTAGCCGGTGGCGGTAGTTTGCAGCAGCTGATAAAAATATAGTAAAAACAATGTCGCCGGTCAAAGGAATTTCACACGTTTCCGTTACCGGTCACACTGCACACAGCTCCGCTCGCTACCATTGGTCCGTTAGCGTATACATCGCATAATAAATCGTTGTGACGCATGATTTGACGAGTAAGAGCAATTTTTTTTCTTTATGGTTGTTTGTTTTCCCCTCACCCCCACGGAATACAACACACAAATACGGCAAACACCCTACATTAGAAGTTTACAATATCGTTTTTCCAGTAATGAGTAGTTTTTCACTATTTAATGCTAATTAGATATTTTACACTATATCATATACGCAATACGCGAAACAAACCACTCACGACAGCTTGTGGTAACACAATAATACAGTCGAGCACATACTGGCCACATAGTATATAAAAACATAATACAGCATAAATATTATAAATTGTTGTCGAAGCGACAAACATCATTCTAGATTGACGACACTATCCCTGTTTTCTCTACAGACATAAACATTACAAACTAACCGCAGCCGCACAGAACACGACTGTCGGTTAACTTCCTTTTTCATAGTCAGTTTCGGCGTTAATACACCGATCGCTGAAAACGATTAACGGCCGAAGCCCGAAAGGCGAAGAGCATCAACGCACAATCGCGAATCGCTAAACGTTACACGACAACCGAACGACGAGCAGTCAGCACTTGGCAGAGGAGCATCAAATCTTCTTAATTTTTTTCCCCCCATTCACCATCACTGACACCGCGCCGCCGTTGCACGCGCGTCCCCGATAACACTCATCGCGAACGCACGCACGCACAGACGCAGCACCACTCACTCGCCGACCGAACGAAGAGCAGCGGATAATAATATTGTACAGTGTGAAAAACGCCGAAAATCCCCGCGTATCATTATACACACACACGCGCACAGAACGTATACGCGTTTTCGGTTAATTATATTATTAATTTTATACCTATTTGTATTGATAAATTGTTATTTTTTTTATTATTTTAATAATATTATTATTATTACTACTGTATAGTGTATACCGCGACGCCGCCGAAGCCGTATTGCACGCACGCACGGGCGCCGCCTTACCGTACGTACGTTTCGTAGTCGTGGTCACGTCGTTTGTCGTCACTCGCCGTATACGCGCACCGCCGAAACCGCCACCAACGGCACGCCGAGAACGCTTTATTGCCGCTCCGACACCGCCACCGCCATCGCCATAAATCGCACACCACCCAGACACGCGACGACGAGTCTTCAACATCGTTACACACCCGCACACACACCGTGCACAGCAATGGACGATCTTAAGGTCGAGGTGCTCTTCGAGAATGGCGCCTATTACGAGGTGAGTTACCGTTGAGAGTTTGCCAAGGGGCGGCTGTCGCCGTAGCGTCTGCCGTCGTCGCACCCGTGTGCGATTTTAATAGGTTATGGTCGCCGACGCCACCGGTTTTCCCCGTTGAGTCGGTGGTGTGTGACTGAGTCTTTGGACGAAATACGCCTGTAACTTCCTTCAATCCTTTTCGGACGAGTCTTTTCGTCCAATTTTTGAAAGCTCTCCTCTATGTTTGAGGTTATTCGAGTTTTTTTTGTAAATTATTCATCGCCCTTCTCCCCTCCCACCCATCATCATAACCACTTGGCTCTTATTGCATGATACCTACCCCTGTAATTTCATTTAATTATTCACCAATTAATTGTGCATTGCCAGCTCGCTTAAGGATATAATAACTATGGTTAGAACTATTCTAGGTATTTTGCTACTACCTATGCTCTGTTTTCATTGTTTCTTTGTTGTGCACCAACGATTTTGTCTCTTTCGTTCATTATGAGATACATCTATTTAAATTTCACTTAACTACCTATCAATTATATGAAAATACTTATTATACTATATTGTTAGGTATTAAAATAAATCAGTTAATTTAATTCCATCATCTGAATAATCTACCTGATACAAGCTACAATATATCTGAAGTGTAAGTGATCATGATGTAACCGAGCTCTGATGAAAATTATTTTTCAAATTTGACTATTTACATTGCTTTTTAATTTAATACCTCTACACAAATATAATATAGTTTCTATGATGGTACACTTAATTTATTTTCATGTAGGTATTATTATTTTATAGAACTTTGTTTACAACTAATATATGCAAATGCCTAGATTTAGTTATACCTATTTTTCACCAAACCTTAATAGGATTAAGCTTTTGCATCATTATAAAATTATTTTTTTGTTCCTAAATATAGGATAAAAATCAATGTAAGTACCTACTTGTAATACATGTTACTATATAATATACTTGCTGATTAAAACTCATGTTACAAGTATGGTAAGAATTTCTTACTAATAGTATGTGCCAAACATTTTTGCTAGATTCAAGTCGTGATGACCTATACTGATTTATATTTTATTTCACCTACAATTTACCTATTACTATTAAAACGGTTTAACATCTGTAGATTCGTACAGTGTTATATGTACTTATTAAGTTCATTGGACATGTAAATAGAAATATGGTAATCTATGTACTTAAAACTGTTGTAATATATATTTAATAATATGGTATCATGTCCTTTTTAGTTTTGATTTTGATTTTTATTTCTTGTATAGAATTTATTTGATATTTGTATAGGTAATTAATAGTATATTAATAATACTATTATATAGCAGAACTCCGATTATCTGATTGCCAATCAATTGAACAAGAAAAAAAATTAGTCTTAATAACTCGTAAATCATAATCGAATTTCATTGTTTTTCATAATTATAATCATTGATAGATAAAGAATAAATATTATTCTTAATATGTCAGTTGTCGTTTAATCATTGTACCGTTTAGTCAGTCAATCATTAAAAAGAGTGAATTTCTGTGTTAAAATGTAACATTTAATATATTCATATGATTATATAACTTTTATATGTCGTATTATGTCAATCATCCAAATATTTATTTATCCGGACCACTCTTGACAATAATTAGTCTGAATAATCGAAGTTCTATTGTATATTAAATAATTGATTTTGTGTTATATGTAGAATTAATTTTAATTATTTATTTCAGGGTTTTGTCACGGGTGTAATGGAAAATGAAGTTCTAGTTTCTTTTCCTAATGAGTGAGTATTTATCTATTTATAATTAACATTTTTTTTTAAAACATAATCAAAATTACAATTTGATTATTTGTGTTTGTATTTACTGTTAAGTATCTGTTTCTTTTTTTCCATAAATAATTTGTACTTAAAAAACAAAATTTGAGAATTTAAAAAAACATGTCTTGTTTAAAGTAGTTTTTTGATAAATTATTCAGTTAAATACTAAAATTATTCTATTAGAGTATTGCTATGATCAAATACTTTTTTGTCTTACTGAATAATATGGTTGATTATTTTAAAAATTGTTATTATCTATCTTTACCTATGTTTAATATATAAAATTATTATTTATTTGTCATTAAGTATTAACTATCTAAAATGATATAGATTATAGGTATTTAATATTTATATATTTACAAATTATTTTCCTTCTGATAATTAAATGTTGGTATGGTTAAGAAGTATCCCTAATGCTAGTTAGTAGTGGGTTTAACTTTTAATTAAATTTAATAACAGTAAAGCATTAATTGATATAACATTTTTAATTTTAAATACATGTTATTATAACAAGTTGCATAAAACATTTATTCATGTGTTTGGGTATCCTTGATTTATCAAATGTTAAGTGATTGCCCGTGCAACTCTGTATTAACCATATTAATTTTATTTTAGTTATCATTAATTTTCCAATTGCTCAGCTATATACCTATTATATATTTTACAAACACAAATATGTTAGTATAGTCTAGTTCCTTGTTAATAACCAATTAATTAAATGTAAATAAATAGTTAAAAAGTATTTAATTTTCAAAGATTTGTTTTCTTATAAGTTAAATGTTGTATTAAGTAATTTAAAATTCTAAACTTTCAAATACTGCATTAAAATATTACTACTGTATAAAAATGCAGTTATTTTTTTTTTAATTAGAGGTTCCATTCTATATACTATCAATAAAAAACGAGTTTATACAATAAGGTACATCAATCGCCAAATGCTTAATAACTGGTTTTAAAATATATTATATTAAAGTTTTATAATCTATTCATATCTAAATATGCTATTGAACAATTTATTATGCCGTTATTATTACTGAATAAGTTTATTTTAAAATAAGTAGATAATTATTTTAAATTTTTATTAACATTAAATTATTTTAAATTCGACACTTGTTGATTGCTTCTTGATTCTTAAATTAAATTTATGGTTATCAATCATAAACAAATATTAAATATTGCATTTATTTTTTAAAATTAAATGTAATATAGATAATGAATATATTCTGTGTTTAACTCTTAGACTAATGGGCTGTATTAAATTTACATATATTATGTTATACTTTCTATAGATTTTTCATTATTAGCAGTAAAAAATTAAACTAATATTCAGTTTTTTAATAAATATTTTTATTAATTTTTAGTTGGTATCCTGAAACTAAATTCAACTGTGACAATGTTCGTCTTCCCTTGTCAGATGAACAATGCAGTACAGAATTTAGTGATAATCAAGAAATAGAAGTAAAATCAATTAGGGAACCTCATCCTTGTTATGGATGGGTAAAAGCAGTGATAAAAATTATAAGTGGTAACCCACCATCTCAGTTTGTTGTCCAATATTTTAACTCGACAGTGACAGAAATAGTTTCTCCAGAGCGAGTTAGATGCAGTAACATAAATCCTCACATTAATGGAGATACATTTTATAAGTTCGATATTGATGTACCAGAAGATGTTAGAGAGTCGTATGTATAATTTATTTTTATAGTTAGAATTTTACAATGCAACAAAAATATTTTAAATAATGCTTATGTTATATCTTAGTGCTAAAATTGATGGTATCCATAAAGATCTGCAGAAAGCAATTGGTGCATCTCTAGTGTTATATAATCCTGATCAATCAGTATTGAGTGTTATATCTCGATCGCCATTGACCAGTAAAAGAGCACAGATGTTAGCTGACATGCACTTCAGAAACCTGAATCAAAAGGTTATGTTGCTTAAGAAGACTGAAGAGTTAGCCAGGCAACTGGAAAGTTCCAAGCTACAAATTACATCATCATCCTACACTGATGAATTTAATGTTCGTGATGATCTTATGGGTTTAGCTATTGGTGCTCACGGCACTAACATCCAACAAGCACGCAGGGTTGACGGTATTACAAATATTGAATTAGATGAACATACTGGCGTTTTTAAAATTTATGGAGAAGTAAGTTAGTTTTAACTGTGTTTTAGTAAAAATATCTAATGTTATTGTTTTTAGAATAAAGATGCAGTAATGAAAGCTCGAGGAATTTTAGAGTATAGGGAAGAGTTTCTTCAAGTTCCAAGAGATTTTATAGGAAAAGTTATTGGTAAAAATGGTCGAAACATCCAAGATATTGTTGACAAGAGTGGAGTGGTAAGTTAGTTTATCGATTCTTGTATTATTTTTAGTATTGCTAACTTATTAAAGTCAAAACTTATTGAATTGAATTTTTTCGTTTACTTGGACACAATGCTCTCTTATACAGAAATTTGAGTTTTAAGACAGTGGTAAGATCATGCATTTAAGAAAATTGTATACAAAACATTACTTATCTCTGAAGAATACTATGATTTTATATTTAGTATTCATTATTTCCCTTTCATTGATATCTGTAGGATATAATTAAAAAAAAAAATTAAAATATATTCAATAATTTATATTTTAGCATAAGATGATTTATGTTTTTATTGTTAGTTAGTATATTACTATACTAGTAAGTATAGTTATCTATTTTAGCCAGTTTTTGTAATCAAGATATTTTAACAAAATATGTTTGTCATTATTAAATAGTGTTAGTTTATTTTTAGATATTTAGTTATTTTTATTAGTATCAGTTATATATATATAATTAATTTTTTGTTATTGTAGATCAGAGTAAAAATTGAAGGTGATAATGAGCCACAACCTACCATTCCTCGTGAAGAGGGTCAAGTTCCTTTTGTGTTTGTTGGCACAGTAGAAAGCATATCTAATGCTAAAGTTCTACTAGAATATCATTTAGAACACCTTAAAGTACTTATTTAATCTCTTTATGTATAAATATTTTTAAACTAAATACAAATGTTTTTATTTAGGAACTCGAACAAATTAGGCAAGAAAAAATGGGAATGGAACAAGAGTTGCGTAGTATTCACAGTACTGGACCAGCTTATCCACATACCATGATTCCCAATTATACGATGCAAAGGCGAAATGACCGGTAAATAGAAAAAAAATTATATTGCAGAAATTCTTGTTTTTTAAAAGTTTATTTAAGTACAAAAACTGTCTTTATTATAAATTACTATTTCTTTATATTTAATTAACTGTTCAGTGTAAGTTTTGGAGTGAGTAGGAACAAAAAGTTTTATTTTATGCCCTTACATCCATGATCTAAGTGCTAATTTCCTCTATCAATCATTATATGACTAGCTATATGGTTGTATAATTTTTTAGTGTTTACATATACCTAGTGCAGCTAATGTTGCTCTTGTTATCAACATTGCTTATCAAAAGTTGGGAAGGGAATATTTGGTTTTTTAATTGACCATTTTATTGTTAGCTTAAAATACATACAAACTCTTCTTAGGTTCTAGTATTACAGAAATGGTAATGTTATATTTCTTTTGTATACATATATTTGTTTGGTAAAGTTATTTTTGATTACATTAACTTTACCAAAATATTATTTTAATGGCCTTAGATATTCATAAAAAAAATTAAAAACTGGTTATTCTCAACAATTAAAATACATTTTGCTCACAATTTAATATAAATGTAACAGATATAATATTGATTGAGAGATAATTTTTGTTATTAATTACATGAACTCTTTCAAATTAACATTAATTAAATATAATATTTTCTAGCAAATATAGAATTTAAACATTATTGATTAAGTAAGGATTACATTTTCAAATGTTAAGTTTCCTACAATTTAAAATATGCAAATTATTTATAAGAAGAACTAATTGATAAAACACATTCAGTGTAAATTTTTGATGTAAGTTACAATATTTATTAAATAGAATGAAAAGTATGTATAATTTTCAAAAAAAAAATTCAATTTTTTTGTAATTTATTGTAATAACTAAAATATGCTCCAGCCTTGGTTTTTAATTATGAGTCAGAAAATAAATATTAAGTCACTTGCTTCTAGAAATTTAATGTGTCATCAACATTTTTGGTCTATTTTCCAGCTGATTATGATATGATAAAATAAATACAAAATCTTGCAATTTATATTTTTGATAGAAAAATCAAAATTTACACACATTATTTCTTTATAACTTGATCCCCAAGTATCAGACTTACAAAAATAAATTAAAAGTTAACTTGAAATATTTTGTTATAATTAACTTACACTGAATGGTTAGGTTAAAATTAAAATAGAATTTTTTGTTTTTTTTATTAAAAATAAGCTTTGGCGACTTTGGCCACTGGCATCTAAAGAGTTATAAGGTTGACAAATTTTGAATATACACTATTTACATAAACATTACAGAATAATAGATTATAAGAAAAGAGATTTTTATTATATTATAATAAATGTAATTATCTTGTTTTTACTGTATTCATAATCTTTATAGATTTGTTAAATATAAAATAATAAATACAAAACATTTTGAGAATTTTTCACTAAATTGAAACTTGTTTGTAAAAAAATTAACAATAATTTTTGAATATTTGTTTTTTATTGTTCATTTTTTTTTTTATATAGTAACTTTAATGCAGATAGCGAAAACATGAATAATGGCTTGGGTAACTCTATGGGAAGAGGAAGTAACAGACCCAGAGGTACCTCAGGTCGTGGTCGAGGTTCAAGGCATGATTTTTATGCCAATAGTATGTATTTATTTTTATAAACAAACAAAAGTATAATTTTTATTTATAAATATGACTTTTTTTTTAGGTGGTAGTAGAAATCAACATCCAGATGGAGTTGATGATAGACTTCCACCACCTTCTCAACGTTCTAATCAATACCAGTATAACCGATCAGGTGGTCAAGGAAACAACTTGTCCAGGGAACGTCGTGGTGGTGGTAGTAGTAATTCGGCTCCTAGAGGTGGTTCCAGGGGTGGTGGAAACAGGCGAATGGATGATAGAAGAAGAACAGCTGATGATGAGCATACAATTCTTGATAACGCTCAAGACAGTGGTGATAGAGGTAAAAATTAAGTTGTTAATACATTTTTGTGCTTTTGTTTGTTTGTTTTGAATGATGTTTTTAAAAGTGTTGCTTGTTCATTTTATAAAATAATAATGATAATGAGTATAGTATATTATTAGAATAAGGCTTTTGAAATAAGGTAGATTTAGATTGCTTTAATTTTAATATTTTGCACTTTTTGGCAATATTTTATTAATGCACATTCTTACATAAAAATTTAACTAGGTATAAATCCAGTGCAACATAATTAATTAATTTAAACAATTTGTCATAGTTTTTAAATAATTCCATGTCTTAAGAATGTTTAGTATTTAAAATTTTAAAATCATATATATTTTAAACCTAAAAGTATAAATAAATTTTTATTTATAACTATGGTTAAAGAGATTAAACATATATCTCAAGTTCTCAGTCAATTTGAGATTTATAATTAAAACAACACTAAATTGAATTTGAATTTCACCACAATCAATGTTCTTGGACATTCATATGAGTAATCCAAATAATATTATAAATAAACTTTAAGGTTAACTTCAGTTAACACTAAAATTTTATATAATAGTTAATCGAAAAAAATCTTGTTATTGATTTTATATCAAAGTATTTTGATGATTAAAAGATATAATCAAACAGTTGAGTTAATCTGAAAACCAAGCAAAAAATCAAAATAATTATTTTAACTTTATTTCTCGTAATGATTTCCAAATAATGAAGTATCTTAAATTATCATTTTCATAATGTTATAACATATTTTTTTTTTTTTTTCATGTACACTTTATTTTAAAGTAGTTTATAATAAAAGATTTTTGCTAAAGATTTAATTTTGTTTTTATAATATATCAATATTGATTGGTTTCATAATGCTATTTTTGCTTAACATTTTATGTATTATTCATTTTATAATTCGTTCACTGTAAACAATTTTCATAGTATAATTATGAAATATGGCTGTTAAAAGGTCACTTATATTATTAGTTTATAAGAAGTTGGTTCATTTTTGTGTTTATGTAAATTTTATGACTTTCTTTTTTTTCAGTTAATTGTTAAAATTTTATTACTAATACCTCTATTATAATTTAACTTAAATTGCATATAACAATTACATTTATATAAGTATAACACTTTGCGTAAGAGTAGGGTCCTTAATCAAAATTAATAATATTTCTTTTATTAAAACGGGTTTGAAATAATATTTTTGTTAATTATTATTATTTTTTCTTATCATTCTTTTTCTACTATTTTATTTTATTTTGCGCTAGAGTCTGTATCTAGTGTGGACGCGCAAGCACCGAAGTCCAAAAGCAGTCAAAAACGAAGAAATCGCGCCATAGCTGCTGCTCAAGGTGAACCATCAATCAATTCTAATCCCATTGGTAGTAATAGTTACAATGCTAATGACTGTAAGTAATGCATTACTAAAAAAAAAGCTTGTAAATAATAAAAGCACGGATAGAAGTTTGTGTTGCAAGAATTAAAAAAAAACTGTGTTTTGGAAAGACTCAATGACTATGTTGCAGAAGTACCATGTTAAATTTGTTATTATTAGATAGATTAGCTACTTATTAATATTTGTGTAGCAACTGTATGTTTGTTTATTACTCAATATAATACAGTTATCGCATTAGAAAAATACCTATGTTGCATGATTTATTTGTATATTAACATTGAACATAAATTGTATTTTGATAACCAAACTTCTGAACAAAAGCACATATGTAATTGTAGTATAATAAAATTAAACAATAATTGCTTGCTCATAGATACTTTTGTATCACATATCTTTTTAGAAATTTAAATATACTAACATTTATATATGTACACATAGCTAAATTAATTACTGCTGTTATTTTAAACTATACTCAGTATAGAATAAGTGTACAGCTCCTTTTATGCACATTAAATAAGATCTTGAACAATGTTGTGCTCTTGAGCTAAATCCACACAATAAAAATCCTTAATGTGGGTTGATAATGTAATGTGCAAACTTGACAGATTTTCTCTGGTATACTTTTATTCTAAATTGAGTATAGTTATAGTGGATCATAAACATACTTCTTAACTAATGATATTTTGATTATTTAGGGGTGTATGAATTTAGTAATGACATTAAAAGTGAAACAATCACCACATCTCAGACTACCAACAATGGAAATACTAATAATGGTAATGCTAACAATGGAAACTCGAAACCAGCTAAAACTCAAAAGTCCAAAGGCCAACAGAATAAGTCTCCTACAAAAAACAAGTCTAACAATACCACAACTTCAGCAGCTAATGGACAGCAAGTCATAGTAAATGGCTCATCCTCTGCCCCTGATGCTGATTCTGCCTAAAGTTATAAACTTATTATTACAACATCTAGATAACATCTTTTTTAAAAAAAAAAAAAAAAAACATTTTTAGTGGTATAAAGATATCAAACCACAAATATTTTATTTAAAATATTTAAAAAGAAATAATAATAATTAACAACAAAATATAGCATCTTAAAAATGTGTGGGAATTAATGTAATTGTATTAGAATTCTTTTCTGCACTTATAGATATTTATATTTTTTATTTTCTCAATGTATAAATAGTCATGTTAAATATAAAAAAAAAAAGATATATTATTTGAAATCTGCTTTCTTAATGCATGACACAATATATAAATATTTATATACCTAAATGTAAATGTAACAACAAATTAGGTTTTTTCCCTAGAAGACCTTGATATTGAGATTTATTAAGTGTTAGCAAAAATTTAAGTATCTATTCATCATGTTTGTCAGCGAGTAAATGGGCTTAACAGATTGTTTCTAACAAATTAAAATTTAAAAAAAAAAACATTATTTATCAATTTATAATTTTTTTTATATTAACAATGTGTTCTATATAATTTTGTTTGAAATTTTAATTTCAAATAAAAATTTTCTTCAAACAATTTTTATAAAATATATTCATTACTATATCCTTGATATTTGTAGACACTTTATAAAAATAAATTCTTAAATAATAATTTAAAAAATAAATCAATATAAACTTTTTTATTGATAAATATTATATAATATAATAATGCAACAATAATAATTATTAATATAATGAATTTATTAATACTTAAACAAAAATATAGTAAATTAGATTTGTTTCATAGCAGTAATTGACAGTTACAATGTCAAAATCATGTACGTTAAACAAAACCAAAAAAAGTAAACAACAAAAACATCCATTAAAAATGATCTTTAAATAAATAGTTTTTTTTTCACTTGTATTAATGCAAATATGCATTTATTTTTTGTGTACACAATTAAACAAATCCAACATATTTGGTTTTGTTTATTATTATAGGTACTTATTTATTTATTATTTTTAAAACTAATATTAGTAGTTCTATAATGATTTAATTAATAATTATGTTGATAGCATTTTTTTTAATGTATGAATTAATAGGGTGTGCAGTCCAAATAAAATTGGTCATTAGGCTACAATTTATTCAATCGTAGTACACGATTAACGTCAATCTGTACTAAATTTTGTCAAAGTTGTAACGGAAGGACAACAATTTGATCGTGTCTTATTAATAAGTAAAACTTATCTGCGAGTAGAAGATCACTCATTATGTCTTAAATGTCTAATTATTATGTCTCACTATGTGAATGATTCGAGTAATTTTGGCACCTTGTTTAGTGAATTCTGCTGCAATTGTCCAGCATTATTATATATTGTGACTTTCATTGATGTATACATATATATTATATACTATTATATGTAATATATATTATATTACGATCATTATAAATTATACATGCCTATCTCTTATATATATGTTTATAAATGTATTAATATATTTTACGTGTATACTATATATTATATACATAAATTATATAAGATATTAAAGGTAATACATCCTCATAATATACTATTAGTTATATAGTATAATCTACTGAAATACATTATTATAATTTTTTTTTTTTTTTTGCATAATAAATAAATTGTACATTTTTGAAATAATTTATACGTTAATTTGTTTTTTCATTTTGTCATTACTCCTTTGTACTGGTACTATATTAGGTTCATCTGATGTGAATTTAATTGAGTATTGATTAACCTTACATATCTTAAAACGTTTTTGTCTAGGGCTAGATTTAAAAAATTTCCTTTACAAGAGACCCACAAGAATTAAACTATATCCAATAAAAACATTTACTTCTTGGACGTACCTTACTGTTAATTACAGCAGACATGTTACTTTCATATTTTTAATATCTATACATCTTGTTTTTGTATTAATGTGTAATTAATTTAAATTATATACAATTCCAAATATTTTAATGTATATTTTTTAATGTTGGATTGATTATCATATTACTTTTGGTATATTAAATAATTTTACTATTATGAAATATAATTATTATGAGGTATATTCAAAATAGATATAACTGAATTAAAAAATATTTTATTATTTTTTACTTTCAAAAATAAAAAGAGTCCAATACTTACCATAATCTGAAAAAAATACACCCGACTAATTTGGGCGAATGGGTACCACCCTGTTGTACATTAGGTGTCGAAAGAATCATTGTACATAATATGTTGTGATAATATCATTTTTTACAAAAAACAATTTTGAGAATAGACTATCGGCCAATATCATTCGAGGGGTGAGACACTTTTCGACCAAAAACGAACCCTTCCCTATTCGGCCGATTCACTTTTCGACTAAAAAAAAAGTTTAATATAATACACAATATTAGTGTAACAAATCGAAAATTTATGTAGAAAAAATGTTGGTTACTAAAAATAATGATAATAATTACACATAAGTCTTTATGTTATACATATCATAAAAAAATATATAAGTTGTATATAAATGAATACCTAATAATATTTATAAAAATAATTTTTGTTGTCAAAAAAATATAGAAAAGTATGATAATAATTACAATTCCTGTTATAATTCATTTTTTTTTACTCACTTTTGTTACTACTGTTTAAGTTAGGTTGCTGGTTCACTACTTTTTAAAGTAGTTATTTGAAACTAACTTAACAAAATCATACCTACAAATATAAAAATATACAAATATTTACTTTTAGATAATTATAAAGTATAAGTTATATATACTGTACCTGTCGAGTTGTCCGTTTTGATAATCTGTTATGTATTTTTCATTTTTCGATTTTCTCTCTCGAATTGATCGATCTTGAGTAACATTTGGCAAGTGAATACTTCTAAGTTTTATATAAATTTCTGTTTGTACATCATCAATTAAAACTGCAACCAAATTAAAGATGGATGGAGATTCTTTATAAAAACTTCGGTTGAAATTTGTGTGGAAGGATTCACAGTTATTTGTCGTGCGTTGTAAACTAGAGCTTGCTGTTGCCCATATTTCTAGAGGATAGTCATAATTTACTGTTAAATAGTTTTCAACGAGATAGTCTGCATATTTGATGACTTTATCATCTTTAGGACAATCAGCCATAAAGTTTATAAGAAAACATTCCAAAACATTATTTGGTTCTAGAAAAAGTAATCCAAAAGTGTGGCGCAACCATTTTCCAATTTCCGAAGATCGGTTTTGATATTCAGTAGCCAGTCCTACTTTTTGGATTTGGCAATACCAAGCTTGAGTTAAATGAAACCTACACCCAATAATTTTAGTTTGTGGCCAAATTTCATAAACTGCGTTAATTATAGCTTTTTCAAAATCCGTCGTTACATACTGCGGCAATAATAATACACCTAAAGAATTGCATTTCTGTAATACCAAGCGAAATGTATGAATATAAGTTTCGGTATTCTTGTTTGGAAGTAAACAAAAAATCAATGGAATATAATTTCCGTTTTTAAGTTTATGGATGGTAAACATTTGGGTAAAAAAAAACGAGCCGAATATTTAAATGTTCCGTTCATGTATAATGTCTCAATTTCTTTTAAGAATAAAATGTTTGATGTACATGAAAATATTACGATGTTTTTCTTTTGGTCATTCACAAGTAAAAAAGGCTCACCTTGTTTAGTTTTTAAGTCTATTTTTTCCAATGATAAATGAACTTCTTCTAAATTTGTGGGACACGCTGGTAATATTTTTCGCCGAGCTTCGTATACATTCTTTCTTATTCGTTTTATGTCAGTTGTATTAAGCTGTAAAGACTCATAATTTTCACCAACTTCTTTTAAAATAATTTTTTTTGGCCTAACTGATGGTTCATCGGTTGCTTTCTGTTTACACAGAGTTTTTTGAAAACAAATTGTTTTGAAGTAAAGTAAATCACAGTTTATTATTAATTATTGTTTTTGAATTAAATAAATTTGTTGTTCCTTTTCAAATTCTATAGTAATATAAAAAAAATAATATGAATATCATTTAAGGATTGGTTAAGATGCATGTTATTTAGTAACATTAATTTCATGTTACTAGTAATATGCTAGACGTATTACTTTTAACGTTCATGGAATGTTACCAGTAACGTGTATGGAATATCAATATAAAGCATTGTATTCATATTACAATTTAAGTTATATTCTCGGGATATAAGGAGTCCCATACACATTACAACTACGTAAATGTCACATGAAATGTAACATCACTAGTTACAAATTAATATTATAAAAACATTAATCTAAATATTCCATTGCACAGTGGGAAGTACCTACTGCCTAAAGGATAATTTAATAAGATTTTGCAGGGTATATACTTTACGAGTACTGAATGTTTGAGGGAGGGATTTCTTTAACCTCGACAAAATGAAATCCGAAATTGCATAATTTCTCAACTAACCACGATAACGAGTAGGTACTGCAAGAAGACAAATTAAACTATTATTGACTAGGCATTTGTTGATCCCCGCTCTGTATAGAATTTTTTTGTGGGTACCATATTGTATTTTTCCAAACATTCATATATACGACAGTATGAATATTAAAAAATTGTATTTATTTTTAACCATACAAAATAATATGTCAACTCTCGTTAATTTGACGAAAAATTCGTCAACATTTTAGCTTAACGTTTAAAAACATATTTTTAGGGGCTTTTATTAAAACAAACTTATGAATAACTTAACATTAATAGTTCAAACTTTTTTACAAGTGCAAAAAAATCCAAAATCTTAACTGTTTAAATACACATGGCTCAAATTGAGTCCAAATATTTTTAAGATTATACTATAAATAGATAATATAAATACTGGAAGAAAATGTGAAGTATCTATACAGTTATTTATTTTTGAATTAGGTATTACGAAAAAAATTGATTGGTCAAAAATTACAACTGCTGAAAAATGTTAGGTTTTTCTCAATTTATAAATTATTCATAAAATTTACCTCTTTCAAGTAATTACTAGAAACCTTCCTCAAATATGAAAATTGAAGTACTTATATATTGCTTCAAAAGGTGGTGGCCAATATTTACAGATATCAGAAAG